CTGACACTTTTAAAAAAAATTTGGGGCCCCCCCCCCCCCCCAGCCAGCACCGCTGTTGATGGCATGTTCAGCCTCTCCTCCCTGCCTGGAGCCACTACAGGCAGGGATCTGTGTCTCCATGGATCCCCACTGCTCTCCCCCGCTTGTATGGGCTGAGGCAGCGGGGATCCGAATAGAAATGGCCGGCGGGGGGGCTCAATCACGGTGATCGAGCGGCATGAGAGCAGCCCAGCAGGGAGGAGGGAGCAGGCGCTGTCATCCTGTCAGTTTCCGGAGGACAGCGGCTGTGTGCGTGGCCGTGCGGAGGATCGGTAAATATCAGTGATATTTACCGAACCTCTGTGTGAAGGACAAACACTGGAGTGATCGTCTGATCACTCCAGTGTTTGTAAATAACTGGGGACACATAGTTTAATGTGTCCCCAGTTATGAATGAACAGGATGTGATTTACATCACTTCCTGTTCATTCATGAATTTCTGATTGGGGAGTAGCACTCACTATAGAGGCTTCTCCCCATTCAGAATCTGTTGATAGTAAATATTATACTATCAACAGTTTGTGAATGAATGGGAAGCCTCTGTACTGAGTGCTTCCCATTCATTAAGTGCTGAGGCTGCAGAAAAAGAAATTGAGGACTCTGTTTTCTATTTCAAAAGGTAAATGTCAGGGGTCTGTAGCCCCCTCAACAGTAAAAAAAAATAAGAAGAAGAAGAAGAATAATTCAAAAATAAAAAGTGAAATTTGTTTTTTACAAAAAAGAAAATTTGTAAAAAAATATATTAACTAATAAAAAAAAACCCCTCCCCCCACACACATATAACATACACGTGCACCATATTGTGGTGTACACCATTCACATGCACTGCAGTGCATTGTTAGAACACATCGCAGTGCATGTTTTTTTCTTTTTTATTCTTTTTAAAAAAACATTTAACTGTGGCAGCACATGGCAAAGCATTGTGACGCATTGCCGTGCATTGCGATACCTTGTGTTGCAATTAAATATATGCCTTTATCATTGTATCACAACACAGCGCAAAAACGATTTTTAACATAAGTTGCTTATTTACAGTTTTGCGTTCCTTCATTTTTTTACCTTTTCATAAAAAGGCACAATTTAAAATTTGAAAAAATTTGTTATTAACTCAATACAGTTTTATTTTTTTAGATTTAGTCAGAAAATATTTTTAACGATTTTAGTGCTTTATCAATTGAATTGTGTATTATTATCAGTTTAATATTAATTTGAGAAACATTTGCGCAATTATCGCAGGGCCTTTAAATTTAGTAGCACTGTCTTTATATTCTACCGGGCCTGTGCTTTCAGAAAATATATGGGGGGGAGTCTTGTACAAACGCTAGCAACGCAGCAGTAGAAAATCAAAACAATGGGAAAATTGCAAAAATGGTGTGGCCAGCTGAGTTGTAAAATGTTCCGGAGGGCTTGGCAGCAAAAGGGTTAAGCTTCGCTTTAAACAAATGTAGAGCAGGTTTGTGCACTTGCTATATGTTTTTGGTAATCAAAATTAGCAAGAATTTTTCTGCAAAGGTTTAATAGTTGTTTCCACCAAACGTATATAAGATTCCAATTTGAATTTAAAGCAGACTTAAACCCAATTAATTCTGCAAAGAAAACACTGGAGCTTGTTTAGATTTGGAATAAATACTGTGAGATAAGCATTACATTTTTTCAAACATTTATTTAGGGGAAAAACATTTTATTATATGCCCTAAAGTAATTTTGCCCTTTTTAGGATATGCAAGTTACTGGTGTAGAAGATGACAGCCGAGCTCTAAATATTACTATCCACAAACCAGCATCAACTCCCCATTCCAAGCCATTTCCTATTCTTCAAGCTACATTCATCTTTTCTGACCACATCCGTTGTATTATAGCCAAACAAAGATTAGCTAAAGGACGCATTCAGGCAAGACGGATGAAGATGCAACGGATATCTGGTTAGTGTATTGCATGCAAAATTTACAGATGATCTGCTTATACAGAAAAACCTTGGTATAAATGATGATTATATCCTACTTAACTTTGGGTATGAGCAAAGATTTCAGAAAACTTGATGGCAAATGGAGTGAGTTTGCATTTGCCAAACTTGTCAAATGTAGTTTTTAAAGTTAAAGACTGCTCCTACCTTTAACCCTTTGTGAACCTGCCACTGCATATACTGTAAATGACCAGTTCGCAGCTCCATCGTTCTGGGAAGATGTACCTGTATGTCCTCCCAATAACACCTGTTTGTGTGCAGTCGCTGTTCCTGCCGTCATTACACACAGAGACGATTGGACCGCCTCTGTGTCTTGTGATTGTTTTTCATAGCAAGCGCATCACATTGCCATGCCCTCCCCTTCCTCTTACATCAGAGGCAGGGGAGAGTAAAGGAAGTAATGAATGGATGAGTCGTTCATTCATTACTTCCTTGTGAAAACAAAGCTGCAGTAGCAGCAAACAAAAATGTTTAGATCATTTTAACCCCCTTCCTCTCATGCTTATGTTGGATCTATTCTATCTATGTAACCTGTGTATTAACCCTTTCACCTCCCTTATCCTGCACATCTATACATGAACCCCTTCATCCCCCTCCCCCCACTGTATTTGACATATACATTAACTTCTTCATCCCCTCTGTCTATGACCTGTACATTAATTATATTTTGCGCACTATTGCCAAGCTACATGTATTAACACCCTCAATACCAACATGTTTCTTCATTTCCAAAAATTTTGGCAAAAAATCAGATCACCTTGAAGTGTCTACTTTGCAAATAGGGATAATTTTGGGGATTTCCACACTGTCCTGACATTTTTATTTGCTATAATTTAGAAACAAAAAGAAAACCAGGCTGCTTTTCAAATGTTTTGAACATTTTGTTTATAGTAAAACATATTAAAAAGCGGTTATTAAAAACCACTAAAAGAAACCTCTATTTGTCCTAAAACAGCACAGCGCTGAAAACGGAAAAAATGGCCTGGTAATGAAGGAGGTGTAACATGCCGGTACCTGTACACCGGTGATGGCTGTGTGATATGGCTTTATATAACCAAAGTCGTGTTACAACCCATCACTGTGTGGCATGGTTTTGTTAATTAACAAAGCCATGCCACGCCCCTTCGCTGTGATATTGTTTAGAAAAGCCATATAATTGTGATCTTATGTATTTTTTATTTTTGATATAAGCCATTTTCGACAATGGATCAAGTACAGGTGTAATGAACACTTGGCTTATGTTGATAAACGAAATCCATGTGTTTTCAATGTGTTACATTCTTGTGTACTGCCTCTTTAAACTTTTAGGCTGGATTCACTCTATTCCGTGTGCATGCAGCACATGTGATAACTCTAATAATATAATCTCTTCTATGCTCCTAGTGAACTACCTACATACAACCACCTATGCTATGAATCCCTACATATATATTGAATATCATATGTAAATTACAATCAATAAAATACCAATGAACAGACAATATACAAATGTGGATTATTTCGTTTTTATAGGACTTACTGTGTTTTGTAGTCCCAAAATTAAAACAAATTTGTATGTCTTTTGATTGTTCATTGCTATTTTTATAGATTGTAATATATATATATATATATATATATAGATATAG